CCCTTACTTTAAGTATGGCAAACCACCCAAGCCCAATCCCTTTTGACTCTGTCCTATCGGTCGACAACAAACCTGGTGTACCATTTGACTGGAATCCAACTCCGGAGGAAGAAGCCCGCATCTTCAAACGATGGCAAGGGTTCACGATAGCTGAACGATCAAAAGATACCTCGTCTTGGGTATGGGAATACGGTATTGAGATCCAGTCTCCGAAGACGAGACGATGGATTTGTATGCCCTGTATCCGTCAAAAAAGCAACAACCCGCAATCCTACGATTCCAGAGGCACACAGAATGCTGAACATCACTTGTGGAAGTCCCACGGTCATTGGGATGTATCTGGAAAGCGCCCCGTACCCTCGTTGACCAAGGGAGGGAAGAGGATGTTCCCTTCTATTACAGATATCTTCAATCTCAGCCGAGACGACCCAAAGGAGCAGTCCTTGGCTAACAATCTGATTAAACGCTTTGATCGAGAGCACTTCCAAAAGCTTGTTGTCAACTGGATTGTCGATAGTCAACAGTCTTTCCAACAGGCCGAGAACCCTCGCCTCCGGCACATCTTCGAATATCTTAACCCTGCTGTTCAGGTCACGGACGCCCACATCTCGAGGCATACTGTTCGGCGGCTGGCAATTCGATACTTCGAGAAACACAAGACGAGGGTGAAGGGAATACTGAAGGAAGCTCCCGGGCAGATCCACATTGCCTTTGACGGGGCTAGGAGCAGGAACCGGCATACATTATATGGAATTACGGCATTATTCAGGAACGTTAAGAATGAGCCGCAGAAAATCGTCCTTGGGCTTCCTGAACTAATCAACCGCCACACCGGAGAGAATATCGCGGCAGAGGTACTCGACGTCATTAGGTCCTTTGGCATAGAGGACAAGCTCGGCTATTTCACTCTCGACAACGCGGGCAACAACGATACAGCGATGGAGATTATCGGCCAAAATATCGGCTTCGATCCTATCCAGCGCCGGGTCCGTTGCACGGGACATATACTCAACCTCGTTGTCAAGGCTCTCCTCTTTGGAAAGGATGTCGAAGCCTTTGAAGAATCCCTCGTTAAGGGAGAGCTTCTTGCCAGGGCAGCACACGATGAGTGGATGAAGAAGGGGCCGGTCGGAAAAGCCCACAACTTTGTAGTTTGGGTTCATCGGTCGGATATGTTAACCCAGCTGCTCAGGCAGTTGCAACGGGAGTATTTTGCAGCGTCCGAAGATCCAGAAATACAGAGCCAGGGTCCACTGGATGTCCATCTCGACAACGATACAAGGTGGCTGTCCCAATATTACATGATCCGGCGGTTGCTTAAGTTGCAGCCCTTCTACGACGAATTCATTATCAAGGCGAAGAGACTTTTCCAAGAAGCGAGGAAAGGCGAGAGAGATACCAAGTTGCCACCCTGCCTTGAGAAGAAGAGCCTTCTTGGCGACAATGACTGGGCAGTCCTCAGAGCCTTTGAGAATATCCTTCACGACTTCTACGTTGTTGTCCAAGTCCTTCAGGGAGATACTCAGTCCCGTAGGCGATCGACCGGCGTCGAGGAGACCTTCGGATCGATGACTGATGTTCTGGAAGCCTTTGAGTTTCTGCTCGGTAAACTGGAAGAAGCGAAGGCCCTTATTCACCAGTATCCTGAGCCAGAGCAGTTCGGCTTCAATATTAACTTGGGCTGGATGAAGCTCGACAAGTATTACCGCACTCTTAAGGATTCGCCTGTCTATTATGCTGCTGCTGCTTTACACCCAGCTGTCCGTTGGACATACTTCGACGATATCTGGAGTCAGGACCATCCGGATTGGATTCAAGAGGCGAAAAACCTTGTCCAGACGCTTTGGGATACGGAGTATTGTAATTTGGAAGTCAGGACTACGCCTAATGAAGGCCCTGTTGTCAAGAAGCGCAAGACGAAGCTGTCTTCCTTTGATAAGTATCGCGAGGCCCATCGGCGAGGCCAGTC